GATTACGTGCAGCTGACAAAATTGACACTAGGTGATGATAATAACAACAATTTTTTATTTTATCAATAGAAATAAACTTACTGTACATTGAACAGGAGGGTAAATGTGTTTGTTCATATTCATTAATTAATTCTTCAGCTTCATTGACTAAATTTGAACGACTAAAACAATCAATCTATATTAAAATAAAAAAATATATATAGATTAGAATAAAAGTTATTACCATTGCTGTATAAATTTTTTCTGTTCTTTTATCGATTGAAATATTTTTAAAAATCTCTTTCGCTTCATTAATTAGACTTGCATGTGAACATGCATTCAATACACATAAATTAATAATATCATCAATGATTTCAAATGGAATTTCATAATAGAGTTGAACAGCTTCTCTACCTAATCCATTCAGACCATATGCATTAACTGAAGAAAAGAAAAAAATTCATTCAGATTTTGTTTAGAAAAAACAAAAATATACTCATAGTGGAATATGAAATATTATTTGGTTTTATAATTTGATCAAAAATCTTTTTTGATCGATCAGCTGAACCAGCTTTTCCCTAAATATATATTCAACAAAATTTGAATATCATTGTAGAATTTCTCAGGTAATTCTGAACTAATCAATTTACATGTTGAAAGATCAGTTAATTCTGCTAATGCATTAATAATTAAAATCCAAATAAGATTATCAATTTCAATTTTATCTCGTTTCATTTCTTCATATAAATTTAAAGTTTTCTCAGGTTCATTTTGATTATTATACATTGCCATCATACATCCATAACTAATCGTATTTTTATTTAATTTTTGAAATAATTTTTCAGCATTTTCAATATCTGAACATTTACTAAACATATTCAATATCGAGTGAATTACTTTTTCACTAAGTAATTTTCTATTTGATAATAATTTTGAATAAATTTGTTTACCTAATTTTAATCCTTTTTCATTACCTAATTCAGCACATGCACTGAAAAATATCAATAGATTCATTCCATCCATTTGATGATTTAATTTCATAAAAATATCAATGACTTCTTCAGGTCAATTATTTTTCAAATAACCTGACATCATTACACCATAACTAATTGTATCTTTATTCATTTGTGAAAAATCTTTTCAGCGAATAGAATATCTCCATATTGCATTAACATATGTAATGCTGAATTAAGAATAATTGTATTCGATTGATATTTTTCAGGTACTGCGTTTAAGATTTTTTTTGCAAATTCCATTGATTTTGTATTATTTAATTGAGAACAAATTTTAAATAAAATACTCAATGTATATTCATTTGGTGGAATACACATTTGCTGAAAAAAGCATTAAGAATTAAAATATATTTGCTCATTTGGTTGAATTTTTTCTCGTTTCATTTCTTCATATAAATTTAAAGTTTGTTTTGGTTCATTTCGCTTATTATACATATTCATCATTAATCCATATGTCATTTCATTTCGATTTAATTGAGGAAATAATTTTTTTGTACTTTCAATATCTGAATATTTACTAAACATATTTAATATCGAATGAGCTACTTTTTCACTAAGTAATTTTCTATTTGATAATAATTTTGAATAGATTTGTTTACCTAATTTGAACCCTTTTTCATCACCTAATTCAGCACATGCATTAAAAAATATAATTAAATTTATATCATTTGGTTTATGAATTTGAAAAAATAAATCAATTGTTTTTTCTATTCGAAAATGTTATACAAAAACATAGATGATACTACATGTAAGAATCGATAATATATCTTATTTGGAACTTGATAATCTTTTCGATGCAATTGAATATCATAAAGATGAAGTATAATTGATTAATTTTTGTTTTAATATATACAAATTCTTAGGTAACCCAAGCACTTAATATTTATGGTGATTATTTGAAAATTGAAAATGATAATTTGATCAATGGTGAAAAGGAAATTGAATTTACTGAATGTATTGAAAAAAACTACTGATAATCATAATCATGAAAATGACCGATCAAGAATTAATCTTAAATAGACTGTATTAACAGAATGTGGACTTTGATATCGAAAATTAGATTTATATGAAAAAGCTATTGGATATTTTGAAAAAGTTTTCTAAAATTTGAATATAAAAATTCATAATCTTGACGGTGTGGGTGTGAGTAGGTGTGTGGATTAAGAGAAGATAGATATACTCACACCTACACCCACACCCTTTCCATCGTAATCCAAGGGATCCGGAATCCTGGGAATCTACCGTTTCCCCCCTTGATATTGTCGCATATGTGCACCTGGCTCCCCACTGACTGGCGTCAACGCTTGCCGATTCACCGTTACTTCACCTGTGTGTTGGCTTTGTGTTGCTTTTTTCGTGAAACTTGGAAAAAACCCGCTGATAACAGCCAACAAAGTGCTCCATTCTCCATTTTCTTATCAAATATTTACTATCTAATTGAAGGCCGCTATTCCAGTATGATATGTGTGCAAACGACATCGACTTTCCGCGAAAATGAACCAGAGCATGTACGTCAATTCATTAGGGTGTGGGTGTGAGTGGATGTGGATGAAGAGGCAAGACACCCATCCACACCCCCTTTGATTGCATTTAAGAAGGTGCATAACATAACGTAGTTTTTAAAAACACATGTAGTGTTTCTCTCCTTCTTTGTAAATAGTAAAACATGCCAGTTGCATACAAAGAACAGATAAGCAAATAGTAGATAACGAATAGTATATAAATTTGTGGGTAGATCTCACATTATCAAGTTAACTTCTCAAACAGTTTAATTTATTATGGCGTCAAATTCGGGTCTGAGATGGAAGAACATGGACTTGAAAGATACAACTACTCCTTTTAATCCAAACTATATCTACCGAATATATTGTGGAGGTTGGCTAATGGCAACCACAATTTCCTCCACAGTTTTATATTTTCATCCAAGCACGTCTGGTAAATACTTTGGCTGCGTGCATTATAATCACAAGTCAGAGTGGGATTATCGAATCGAAGGAGATTGCGCTAAACGTCCTCCATCATATCCAGACTATATCGCTCCAGTTGAAAAATTACAATATATTGTGGTTGAAAGTGATTAGTTAGACTATTCTTCACATGCACATTATTTGTTATACCTTTATACTCACAAGGAACGTGTCTGTGTTGATAAGCGAACAAATAAAATATTTTTATATCAAACGAAAGATATCGTTGAGAAACTAGCAAGATTAAACTATTAGCTGCCCTTGGCTTATCTAAAGAGAAATATTCGATCTTTTAGGATGCTCACAATATGAATATATACATGGGGCACTCGGAAAGTTTCTTCGTGCAACTCATCGAAGAGACTTGGTAAGGAACTGACTATACCGCTATAGTGCCCATACATACTTATTATTATATGCAAGGTTTGATTTTACACATAATCCTAAGAGTCACTGCACGAGAGATTCGACAGGGAGTGCTCAATCGATGATCTCGGGTTGGGCTGAGAGTTAGCCCATCTTGTAGAGGGGATTGTGTTACGTATAAATCCAAATTTTCAGACCTAAAGCCTTTCATTTGACTGAGATATCGAATTTCGACTGAAACCACCCAACATCGGTTCCTGACAATGACTACTTCAGTCACTTGCAGTATTTTTACGATATATTCGCATCGTGATTCAGTAGAGACCTGCAATTGTGACCAGGCGTATATTCGATGATGGGGAACATAATCACCTGAGACAATTATGGTTCTGCTTGGATAAAGCGTCACCTCTATTTCTCGCCTATGGTATGACACGGGCTAAAAGGACCCCATCTTCGTGATGGACCATTTCTTAACCAACGCGATCGATTTCACTGAAACCTTTCCTCTAAGAACTACTATCCTAGTACTGCGTGCTCACGCGATCAGAAGTCTGGGATCTTGAACTTTTGTCATAAAAGTCATGCTCTCAAAAGCAGCATTTTTCCTCTGTGCCATAGTACAATAGAGACTACGATGAATGTTCACTCAAACCGGGAAGCGAAGACTATACGCCCTGAAACTTTCACCATCTTGAGG